GCGAACGATCTGTATGTACTTTCATACAAAATGAATCAATGGTTTTTCTGAAAATGAATTTGAGGAGGCCAGTTGTGTGCGGCTTGAGTCATTGAATCCATGGGGAACGTGCTCAGTGCTCCAGTTTCTTTAGCATTTCGAAGGTGGCTAGAGAAAAAGCTGTACGAGTTGTCGTACGTCGTTCAGATATGGACAGCACGTGAAACGCATCGTTGACAGTTGTGCAAGGGCTGCTCCTTCTTTTGGCTTACATTACGCCATTGCACTGCCCTGTATGCGGTAGGATACTCCCAGTGAACAGCCAGTAGTTTTGTACCCCCGGAGCTTCTACGGGTCTTGGATAAGTGAAAGTCCCTTGAATGGTTGACCGGCGATGGTGGCCCGGGGGTAACATAACCAAGTTATCACACTGGAGGGCGTGCGTTCCACTACCACCGCCGCCTGACATCCCCATTGTGTGTTATATGGCAGTTTTTTGATGGGCTGCTTCCTCCTTCTGCAAATTGTATCATTATGTATTCAATAAACGGGTGTAAAATTTGGCAGAAAAGATGAATCGCTAAGCATTCCCTCGCGGAATAAACGATCAGCGACAATTTATGAGGATGTGGCGGATTTCGCCTGGCACCTGACCTCTCTTAGCAAAACAAACAAACTAGTCCATTGTGAGTATCGTGATGCGTATGCATCTTTCTCACTCCTAGGTATCATCATCGTTGTTGCCTCACAACTGACACCTGACTGTGCTGGTATTAAGAATGCACTTTGTTACTACAATCCGAAAAAGCCTTCATAGATTCGTCCACGAAATTGATTTATCCTTTCGTTGGATCAAGTTCCCTAAAAGTAAAGTAGTGAGAATAAAACCATCAGAACGAGATTGCACCTTGATGTGGTGTGATTTCTTGCGTGCCTCAATAACCATGAGAGCTATTCAGGATGGCTCCTTTGAGGAGTGACCGCGAGAAGTGGTGGAAAGGTAAGTGTAATGAGATGGAGAATGCTGCAGCTATTGGTAATAGTCGCAGTCTCTTCCGTCCAATTAGGAATATCGGTCCAGGAAAACATGTCTAAGTGAGGCCTCCGGCCAAGACGAGCTGTCCCTATCGGTTTTTAAGGATGGCTTTTGGTGTTAACGAAACTCCTGGGCTCAGTGTGGGAGAAGGAAGAGGTTCCAATGGAATGGTGTGAATCGGTGATCATATCGATTTACAAAGGTGACAGGTCCTCTTGCGAAAGTGTCTACAATCGTTAACCATGCACTTTCATGCAGCAATTTTTGCTGCCCATTTGAATGAAGAGGTAGGAGAACAGTTGAACAGTTGAGAGCAGATTAGAAGAGAAAGTGGAGAATTCCAATAGACTGAGGTTGTAAAGAAATCAGGAAGACTCACGAGCGCCACTGTTCACGACAACCAGCCATATCTCTAGTGTGTCCAACTGTTGATTAAAATGACCTCGAGGTCCTTATTCCGGGAGTCTAACGCGATCTATATAACCGAGTTTCCCGGTAACGGTTTTCACACTATGATGCCATATCTTAGTTTGTTCGCCATTGACCTTTTCCGACCACTACCGTTCTCTTCAAACATCGCGTGCCACGGCAACCTCCTTTTTTGTCACACGCCCCAACCAACGTAATCTATAGAGGTGGATCGCTTGCTCCAGTGGTAGACCGCGATCACATAGAGCTTTGCGAGTAACTTCGGCATTGCCCTTCCGGTTACCCACCAGATTCGTGCAAACAGCAGTGTTCGCACACCGGCAGTTTATCTTTATCCTGTTTTCTTAATAACCCAGTTTGTGTGCTGTACAGCAGAACTGGCCGAACGCCTTCAGCATACACTCGACCCATCACGGAAAGCCAGATGTGGCAGTGGCGCTGCAAATCTGTCTAGTTGGAAAATGCCAATCGAGCCATCTTCATGCGTGCCGACACTTCATTTGTAACGCGTTCGCAAGGTTGAAATATAGCTACCCAAACATCAAAACGTGTTTGCTTGCTCAATTACCTCCCCAGTTAAAGTGAAGCTGAATGTGGTTGAACCCAGGTAGTAACAAACTTCAGAGGTGGCTCGCATACCAAACAAGGCTACACTTGTACTCAACCTATTCAAAATAGCTTGCAACTTACCATGGTCTTCACTTAGCAGCACAATGTCATCTGCATACTCTAGGTCAGATGATCTGCCACACGGGAGCAGCTCTACACCATAACTACCTCCGCACAAGGACAAGTCTGTTTCCAAAATCAAATCTATAACAAAGGTAAATATAAAAGAAGGGAGGACATCTCTGACAAACACCACTTTCCGTCGTGAAATCGGGCGTAGAGGTGGCGTAAGATCGAACTCGATTTGGACAATTAGTATAAACGGATCGTTATATCGAAAGGAATTTATCGGCGCATCCTTCATGGAATGGCATCACCAGAGTTTAGAGCGGTCGACTGAGTCGAAGCCGCTTTCAGATCGAGGAGGACAGAGTTAGTGGGTCTACAAAATGAATGTCGGTGCTCAAGAGTTTGGCGAAGAATGAAGATGTGGTCGATACAACCTCGACCAGGTCTAAAACCAGCCTGGTTCTCATGCGTGCACCGTTCACTTGCGGGCGACAATCAACGGAGTACGAGGCAATCAACAAATTGAGAGTCAGTTTTGGTTAAACTTATTCCTTTTTAATTATCAGATGGGGCTCTGTCACCTTTCTTTTAATCGGTAAGATGACTGATCCACACTATTCTTTTTGATCCTGTTCCCATATTTGGCCCAGGATTTTCGTCAACTCCTAAACTAACACTGAAGGTCCATCCTTAAAAGCCGATTTGAACAGCCGCATTTGAGCCGGAGTCGCTAGGCTTTTCGACGGAACTTAGTTGCTGTTGAACCTCCATTTCAGTTGGAGGGCTGGTATCAACTGGGAGAATTTATCCAATTGAGGTTGTAGTGATGGTGGTCTGATAGTTCTAATATCGAT